GGGTTTGAACCACCAGCCTTCTGGTTAGCAGTCAAGTGCCTTAGACACTATGCTACCAGAGCTCCTAGAAGGTCAGTAGGACAATGCAAGGTGCACGCACCAGGGAATCCATTATTCAGTGGTGTACTATTAATAACCTCCACGTTATTGTTCTTGTTAGGTGCTGTGAGTCGGCTCTGACTCACAGCGACTCTGTGCACAGCAGACAAAACACTGCCCAGTGCTGTGCCATGCTCACAGTCCTTGCTATGCTCGAGCCCATTGTCGCACCCACTTCTTGTGAATCCACTTCTTTGAGGGTCTTCCCTTTTTTTGCTGATGCTTTTATGTTACCAAACATGCTATCCTTCTCCGGGGAATAGACCCTTTGACAACATAAACAAAGTAGGTGAGACGAAGTCGTGACATTCTTGCTTCCAAGGAGCATTCTGGTTGCATTTCTTCCAGGACAAATTTCTTTATTCTTCTGGCAGTTCATGGTATTTTCAGTATTCTTCACCAACACCATAATTCAAAGGCATCAACTCTTCTTAGGTCTTCTTTATTCACTGTCCAGCTTTCAAATAAACATGAGGCAACTGAAAATACCATGGCTTGGGTTAGGCACACCTTAGTCTTCAAAGTGACATCTTTGCTTTTGTAACACTTTAAAGAGGTCCCTTGCAGATTTTCCCAGCACAATATGACATCCGATTTCCTGACTGCTGCTTCCATGGGTGTTGACTGTGGATCCAAGTAAAATGAAATCCTTAACAACTTCAATTTTTTCTCCATATATCATGATGTTGCTTATTGGTTCAGTTGAGGATTTTTGTTTTCTTTATGTTGAAGTATATTCCATACTGAACACTGTAGTCTTTTATGTTCATCAGTAAGTGCTTCAGGTCATCTTCACTTTCAGCAAGCAAGGTTGTGTCATCTGCGTATCTCAGGTTATTAGTGAGTCCTCCTCCAACCCTGATAACACATTCTTCTTTATAAATGATCTCCATATGTATCTGCAATTGTTCTAGAGATTCTAGTAAATGTTTTATCAACTGTAAGTAAATCTACACTACAATGTGGAAGGACTAATGACTACTTAATGAATTTTTCCAATTTTTATTGTTACTGTGATAAGATAGGAAGAACACTGTTGTTGTTAGGTGCCACAGAATCCATTCAGATGAAGCGACTCCAGGTGACAGTTACTATGGCAGTTAGTATGGTTTTCTCTTATGTAATCTTCACGGAGGCAGGTCACTAAGACTCTCCCACTGAGTTGCTGAGTGGGTTTGAACAGCCAACCTTTCAGCCAGCAGCTGAGCACTTAAGCACTGCACCATCAGGGCTCCTTAACTTACAGTCAGAAAGAACATTATCACATATAAAAATCCTGCTAATTTAATGATGAAAAAATATATAGGAACAAAAACATTATGAAGTTAAAAAGAGGAAAAAGAGAGTGAGTCCAAAAACGGAGGGGGGGCACACACCCAGCTTCTTTAGGGCGTGTCTGACATTCTGCTGTTTTATAATCTAGCTTCTTTTTCTGCCTTCTTTATTTCTGTCCACTACTTCAAATGACATTATCTCAGTTCTAAGAAGCAATGAGGAGAAACACTGACAAACTGGAATGCACTAAAAGAAGGTAATAAGAATGAAACCAGTATGAAAAGTGATCTGGAGACCAGTTCATATCGAAGGACATTTTTGTCAACCTAAGATTATCTTTAAACATTTCAAGGGCAGCCAAGTACCAGAGAAAGTAAATTTAGTTTTCCTTTTTGAAGATTAAAGCCAATGCTAATAAATTACGCTGGTATGTGCTTTGACTTAATATAATGGAATTCCTACATATAAAAGTTTATAAATGGAAAGTGGTGCCTTGTGAGGTGGTCCAATCACAGTTGGAGGCTAATGGCGAGCTGATGAGAATAATGCCAGCAACAGATCAACCTTTCCAACTCTGCAGTTCTCTGAAATTCATTCCCCTTTTCCTCCACAATGTATTCTTTCTTCCTCTGGCCCTGGTTTAAAATTTAAGTTTTAATATTTCTATCTATCTTTGTCTCACAGATCCTAAATATATTAAAAGATAAACAAAATGATTCAGTTTAAATCTTACTGAGTTGGAAATATATGCTTCCTTCCAGGATAACAACAACAAAAATCTGTTGTTAGTTGCCCTCAAGTTGATTCTAGTTGATTCTAACACACGGCATCCCTATGTGGCCGAGCAGAGCCGCTCCACAGGGTGTTCAAGACTGCAACCTTTTGGAAGCGTATCATCAGTCCTATCTTCTGAGGCACCTCTGGGTGAGTTTGAACCACCAACCTTTCAGCTAGTGGCTGAGCACTTAACCTTTGCATGATCTGGGGACTCTTAAAGTCAAAATTTAAAAAAAAACCAAACCCACTGCCATTGAGTCAATTCAGACTCACAGCGACCCCCACTGGGTTTGCGCAGCCCCATCTTCCTTCTGTGGAATGGCTGGTGGATTGGATCTACCAACATTCTGGTTTGCCTTAGGCACTGTGCCAAATTAAAAGCATCAATTCTTCCTAATCAAAATAACCTGTAGATTAATTCCAATAAAAATTCAAAAGGGATTTTCATTTACTTAACAAAAATGATTTAGTGATTAATTTTTAAAAATGCAGAAAGCCCAAAATTTTTACAATTCTTACACATATCAAAATGTATCATTCACAAATAATTATTATTCACTTAACAGTATTAGGATAATAAGTTAAAAGTTTTTTTAAAAATGTTGTTGTTAACAGCTATCTAAGGTGTAAGTATTGATCTCTCCCTATCTGGAGCAAAGAGTAAAGAAAATCAAAGATGCAAGGAAACAATTAGTCCAAAGAACTAATGGTCCACATGAACCCCAGCCTCTAGGACCCTGAGACCAGAAGAAATGGTAGCCAGCGACCACTGCTGATTGCTCTAAAAGGGATCACAATAGGGATAGAATGGGAGACAAATGTGGAACAAAACTCAGAATCATAAAAAAGACCAGGCTTGCTAGTCTGATACAGACCGGTGAACCCTGACACTATGGCCAGAGTCACTTTTCAAGCTTGGAAATGAATACACCCTTGTGACTCAACTTTCAGCCAAATGACAGACAGGCCTCTAGGGTGAACAATAATACCTGGGAGACAAGCACTCATTTGAACAATCAACCATATAAGATAGAAAGAGTAGCATTCTAGGGATAAAGAATGCCCAGGGATAAAGCTAAGAAGGCAAGAAGGAATAGGAAAGGACAAGAGGAAACAGTAAACACAGGGAGGAAGTAGGATGAGAGCTGTTATATCGTGAGGATTGCAATGAATGTCAGAAAACAAAATGTGTATGAATTGTTGAATGGAAAACCAATTTTCTCTGTAAACTTTCACTCAAATCACTATTAGTAGCATTAGTAGTAGTAATAATAATTATAATAAGGTGTTGCTGTTGGGTGCTGCCAATTCAGTTCTGACTCAAAGTGACCTCATGTGACAGAGGAGAACTGCCCCACAGGGTTTTCTAGGCAGTAACTGTCTTAAGACCAGGTGACCAAGTCTTTTCTTCTATGGACGCACTGGAGGTTTGAACTGCCATGACTTTTCGTTAGCAGTGGGGGTAGTTAAAGATATGTGTCAACTTGGCTGGGCCTGGTTTTGAGTGGCTGGGCAGCTGGCTGCAGTTATTCCCCACGATGAGACTGGCAATCAGCTCCATGGTGGAATCTGCCGAACAGCTGAGTAGCTGCTTTAGGGTGTGGTCTGCTTGTAGTATATAAGAAGGAGCTTTGGGAATGGTCTGCAGCTTTTTGGCATGCATGTACCCTGCATGTAGCTAAGTCTTCATTTAGCAGCCTACCATATTCCTGCCAATCTTGAGACTGTCTCTGGATTTGAACTAGTGGCCTGTTGTGTTGTTTGGTAATATTGGGACTGTGCCATTTTATTTGTTGACCTTGGGCTTGTCAGCCTCAGCAGGCAGCAGCTGCCAGAGTGAAGAGATGCCTCTAGCTCCAATGGGCCAGGGAGAAGAGGCAGAGCTGAAGCCCAAGGTCGAGAGGCTTTTACCCAGCCCCTAAAGCCAGCACTCTGAACTTGGAATTCTAGCCTCCAAAACTGTAAGAGAATAAACTCCTGTTTGTTGAAGCCATTCACCTGTGGTATTTCTGTTAGAGTGGCACTAGAGAACTACAACAGCAGCCAAGCACTTAACCACTGCGCATTGGAGCTCCTTTTTCAAAAAACAGGTGAGCTAAATCCCTGTCTTATACCTCAAAGTATGTGAATAAAGATTTATAAAATCACAAATAAAAGTAAAATATTGGTCAGTATCTATAATCTTTCCTAAATTAGACATTCCTAAGTTAGCACAGGAGCTCTGGTAGCATAGTGCCTAAGGCACTTGACTGCTAACCAGAAGGCTGGCAGTTCAAACCCACTAGCCACTACTCAGAAGGAAGGTTGGGCAATCTACTTCCGTAGTGATACTGCCTCAGAAACCCAAGGAGGGGTTGCTATGAGTCGGGTCCAACTCGATAGCACTTAACAACAACAACAAGTTAGCATGGTATCAAAGACCTTCCTAAGTTGACCTGATGTCAAAGGCAGAATCACGAATGAATGAAAAACCTAAAAATAAAAAAATCTTCCATCTGGCAAAATATACCAAAAAAGTTAATGAAAAACTGATTATCTCCATAGAAAAATGAGCCGAAGATGAAATCCCAAGAGAAGAAATATAAGTCATCAACAAATATGAAAAGAGGGTATGCAACACACCATTTTTTTTATCTATCAGAATGGCAGAAAGCAATGATTTGAATATGGTACTGATAATAGGGAAAAAATGGAAGTTCAACAGGGTATGGTTTAAACAAACTATTAGTATAAAAAATTATGTATATATTTATTGATATAGAAAGAGCTTCATATAAGAAAAGGTTACCTAACAGCACATAAATGATACCCTCCCACACTTCTTTTAACAACTTAAATATATATACTTATATAGACACACAGAAAAACATCTGAAAAGATTATTTATCAAATATGTTAAAATAGTGGGATTATTAAAAACCTGCAGGAGTGGAATTATGAATGGTTTTCATTTTTATCCTTATGGTTATTTTGTATTTTGTGTATTAATTCTCTTTCAACTACTAATAATGTTACAGTGCTTTATAATCTGCAAGCTACTTACCCAATAGTGCTGTATTTTCACCTGCATCATCTTTAAAACTGGTGTTGCACTGATGCACAGACTCATCAGTGGAAGATGATGGTAAATTACTGCCATCACTCCTGTCTTCGTCTTGTAAGGTAATACTCAGATTTGCAGCTGAAACACTTCCAGGGGTAGATTCTGGAGTGGGCATCTCCTGCACGTCTTCAGGCTCTCCCTTGAAGATTTGAAACCAAAGAAAATACCTTTCTTAAACAACACAATCAGAACTTCATCTGTTTATACAAAATATCATTAACTTTTATAAACAAAATTTGGTAAAAGTTACATCAATGACTCCTTTATCTAGTACCATTGGCAAATGAATGAATGGACCTCTCAATAAGCAAGCTTTCTAAGACCTAACCATTATTATTTTAAAACCCATTTTTCCCTTGCTACAAGAACTATTTATTGACAGAAAAAGTGAAGCTTTGTTACATATTTTCCTGTTGTTTTGAACTCATTGCTGTTGAGTCAATTCTGACTCATGGCGACTCTACAGGAGAGAGTGGAATTGCCCCATACGGTTCCAAGTAAACTTTACAGAAGCAAATTACCACATCTTTCTCCCTTGGAATGGTTGGTGGATTCAAACCTCTGACCTTCTGGTTAGCAGCCAAGTGCTTTCCCGCTGTGATACCAGGGGGTGTAAATCAGTCTGGCTGGCTGCTGATCATTTACGCTCCAAGTACTGCCCTCATACTGTTCATAGAGAGACACCAGGGTTTCCTACGTGACCGTGGCTTTTGAACAACAGAGGACTCACATGGTATTTTGGTTCACTTCAAAAAAAAACAAAAAACCTCTGGCTCTTTCCTTATACACACAGTATTTTATCAACTGTGTGTCTGCCTCCAACATCCATCCTTCTCCCAAAAGACAACAAAAGCTGAGGGCTGGAGACTCTATGAGCACTACTACACTGAATATCAAAATCTGGGGGGTATCGAGAAAACTTTGTAATACCAGGGTCAAAGCTTTGTTGTGATTACAGATATGTGTCACTTAACATCCATTCAGGCAATGTCGATGGTCCCATAAGGTTTTTATTCTTTGAAGGGAAAGCAGATCTCCTTTTATTTATTATTTCCTTCTAATAGTTTTAAGAAGGAGCTCTGGTGGTGTAGTAGTTAAGGCATTTGGCTGCTAACCAAAAGGTTGGTGGTTCAAACCCACCAGCCATTCTGCAGAAGACAGATGAGGCAGTTTACTTTCACAAAGATTTAAAGATTTATAGTCTTGGAAACCCAATGTAAGTCACTATGAATCAGAATCACCTTGATGGCAGTGAGTTTGGTTTGGTAACAGTTTTAAGTACCCCAAACCCAAACTCTTGCTGCACTGGACGACAGATGGGATATAGGCAGATGAAGCAGAGGACATGGCTCTAAGCACCGATAGGCTCTTAGGTTTTGTCTGGTAGACAGGCAATGGCGGTGGGCTGTTCCTGCTTATTGTGCAGGCAGAACAGCAGTGAGGCTGGATGTGCTCTGCTCTCTCCCTGCTAGCTTCCTTTCCACCTCTCTCCTTCCCCTATCCTCTAGCTGCTGCTGCTGCTGCCCACTTCTCCAGCCTCTACCAGCAGCTCCACCAGCACCAGCACTGACAAGGACAACTGAAAGTGGGCTCCAATAAAGTTTCAATACAGTGTTTGCACAACATCCAAATCATATAGTGTCCTATTTCACAAAATATATTTTGGATGTTCAGCAACTCATCCCTATTGTTAAAATTACTGGTAAAGTGACCTATGAAATGAAGTTAGTAGGTGGTGCAGACAGTTAATGTGCATGGCTACTAACTGAAAACTTGGGAGATTTGAGTCCACTCAGAGGCACTCAGAAGAAAGGCATGGAGATCTACTTCCACAAAATGAGGCACTGAAATCTCAAGAGCATGTTCTACTCTGACACACATGGTTGCACTAGTTGGAGTCGACTCAATGACAAACTGGTTTTGGTTTGTTTTTGCAGGGTTACTGTGATCATGTGATTCATATTCTTAGCTTTGTTTTAAGTAAAAATCCCACAGTCATTGCACCACAGCACTTCTCCCCTCTGTTGCTCTCAGGGCTAACCACAGCTGGCCTTGGGCTCCATTCTACAGTTCGGCTCTACCTTTGTTCTAGATCCCGCCCACCTCTGAAGGTCACACAGCAGGGTACTTTCTGATAATTAACTAAACAACCTGAAGAATCTGACACGATTTTCCCTCCTACTCTGACTCCTCACACACCAAGCAACAAATCCTGTTGAGTAGTGAAAATGCCCAAATTCTGCTCAGCCTGATTCCAATGTTTTCCAGGCTCGTCTAAATACCTGCCAAACTTAACTACCTACCAGTCTGGAATTCCAGATGTTTTCACACCTCTGTGAATACATTACAATTTGTATTTGCAATATGCTGATCTGTCTCACAGATCCTTTAAGACCGAGGTCAAAGGCCCCTTCTCTAAAAAAACTACTACTCCCTGTTATCATCTCTGGATGGTACATATGGTTAATGTGCTTCACTACTAACCAAAGGCTGGAGGTTCATGTTCACCCAGATGTGCTTTGGAAGGAAAGCCTGGTGACCTATTTCTGAAAAATTGTTGTTGTTGTTGTTACGTGCCGTCAAGTTGGACCTGACTCATAGAGATCCCTCCTTGGGTTTCTGAGGCAGTATCACTATGGAAGTAGATTGCCCCATCTTCCTTAGCCATTGAAAACCCTATGGAGCACAGTTCTGTTCTGACACACATGGGGTGGGTCACCATGAGTCAGAATTGACTCAGGCAATGGTTTGGTTCATATCTTCCCCGCTTCCACCAGGCAGAATGGCTTACTTCTTTCTCTGTGCTCTCATAGCACTTCAAAAACACCTCTTTTCTGTATTACTTGTGTGTATGCCCTAGCTCCCTCTCCCACAGCACTCCCTCCCATTTGTCCAGAAAATGAAATCCCGAAGAGTAGATTTCACCTTTGCATCCCCAGAGACAATCAGGTGGCATTCCTCTAACAAAAGCTTGCTGAATGAATTAAAGCAACAGTGACAAGTGGAACATAAAGATAAAGTTTGTCGGAAGGACTGCTGGTAACTCTCTCGCTACATTTGTGATGAAATGGAGACTAATTAGAATGTGAGAGCACTTCATAGCCACCTATAAAATCCAAAGCAAGGACAGCCACCGGGTCTAAAGAAAATGGCTTATTTGTCTAAAGATTAAAAAAATAAAAAAAAAAAAGAAAGAAAGGCATGATAAGTTAGTTCGATGTTAAAGTTGCTATAGGTTTCTGTTCTTCAAAAAAAAAAAAAAAAAGAATTTAGGCTTTCAGGGGATGCATAGACTAGCTCTTTTGAATTAATATTCCCAAAATGCTGACATTTATTTTTAATAAGTGAAATATATATGTAGATGTATTTCTAAGAACAAAATTCATGAGATTAGTCTCGGTGCTAAATTCAGTGAAATTTTTACTGTCAGTGTTCTTTTTCTAGAAATGAAAAGCTCATTTAAAGTTACCAACTAATACAGAAAAGAACTAATATGTGCTTCAGAGTATATTGAATAAAGGTAAAAATTTCTAAAACTCTGCAAAGAAAAAAACTGTAGTCTTATTTAAATATGCTGTCCTACCAAGGCTCATTCACTAAGCTCTAGCCCTGGGAGCAAAGAGGGGATGAGTTGAACCTGTTATATCATGCCCAATAGAACCAGAATGATTAAAAACTATGAATAAATGAATTGTTGGAAGTTCTAGAGGAAAGAAAAATCTTGTACACATCAATGTAGGATGAGGTTGTAATAGCACACACGGTTCTTCAATATTGACCTTCCCCCTTCATATGTACTTATTTATAGCTATGACCCTCTGGACTCACCCTTAAAAAAATATATAATTCATAGAAAATTACAGTAGTTATTAAGGGAGCAGTCTCTTAGGTATCTTTTGGAGACATGCTAAGCTACAAGATGAAAGGACATGTTAAACACATTTGCAGTCTGATAAATAAGTGCTTTGTTTCAAAAGTCAATTCTTTGGTGACACTGTTACAGAACCCTAAATCAATGCTATTGAGTTGATTCCAACTCATAGTGACCCTACAGGGCTGAGCAGAACTGCCCCATCCTTCTCCAGAAGAGTGGCTGCTGGGTTTCAACTGTTGACCTTTTGGTTAACAGCCAGGTGCTATTAACCACTGTGCCACCAGCAGCCCTATATATGTAATATTTAAATTATTATTTTTATTTTTTTCAAAGATCTTTATTTCTAAACTATTAACTATTTAGTCAAGGTTATTTTGAGACACTCGTAGCTTACATGAAGGCTCAAAATCAGTAAAAAAAACATAAATGGCCAAGACACAATGATTTACTTTCTCTACATTCTCCCTTTTTAGTAATTAACAGTTAAGAGCTTGGGCCCTTAAGAAAACTTGTGTTTGAAAGCTGGTTCTTTATTAACTAACTACTGTGTGACTTTCAGCAAATTACTCAGTTTCTCTAAGCTCAAGTTTTCAATTAGTAAAATAACAACAATAATAGTTCTTAGCTCATATAGCTGCTTTTGAGGATTAAATACAATAAATATACATAAGGCATTTAGCATAGGGCTCATATTATTATCTTCACTTTGCACTAACTGTCTCTATCTTCTGAGGAATGCCTTATGACCAACTGTATCTAAATATCACAAAGTGATGCAACAAATCCAAAGCAGGATAAATTTCCCAAGTGCTATTTGAGTTTGGGTCCAGAAGCTGGGGGAACTGGTGTTAAAAATTGTTGATTCCAGTTTCCTCATATGTAAAACGTAGCTCTTAACCCAGAATCTACTAGGCCCCTATAATTTTGAATATTTTCTAATTTTTGTTTATACAGAACTGATTTAGCATATATACATTTTTCAGCGTAGCATGCCAAAATATATTTCTCTAAAAGTAATTACAAACTCTCCGGGAGCCATCCTACCACACTGTTCTATAATCACAGATGCAGTTCATTCACTTTTTTGGAATGTCTTAAGAATTCATTGTCATTAAAGAAGAAACCTTCAGACACCCACAAGGACAGGAGGAGTATTTTAGTCTATTCCTCTTGCCTCTGGTCATCAAGAAATTGAATCACTCAGTAAGAACTGGGGCAGAGATTGAATATAAGCAAAAATGTAACAAACCCAATATCCCAGGGCTTTGATGACATCAAGTTTACACATTGGACAAGTTCGGTGATCCAAAAGCCAAGGGTCAATGCATGTTCTATGAAAAATATGCCTAAAAAAATTAAGTATGTGTTATTTTTATATCTTATAAAGGAACATAAAACATTTTATCAACTCATCCTCTTATCACAAGTTACTTGACATAATATCAACATTCTAGTCTAAACAATCACCCTATGTAACTATTTCTATTTCTCACGTAAAACAGAAACTGGCATTTAAAGGGAAGTTTCCTCTTCAGTCTACAAAAACAGCATAATTTATGTTCAAAATTGAGCTTCATTTTAGCCTAATGTGAGGTCACCTTTCTAAGTTACAGGAAGATATTCTGGGAATAAACATGGCATAAATAAGCTTATAATGCCTTTGTATATGTCCATAATATAACTCAAATGGAAATATAACAAAATATTAATAAGTCATCTTTGGGTGGTAAACTTAAAAATTACTTATTTTCTTCTTACACATTTTTTGTGCATTTTAATAAGCACTTACCACTTTTAGAATCAGAAAAAAAGACATTTATTTCTTTTCTTCACTTAGTCAGTCTTAGTTGGCTAACTTCCCCTCCAATGTGATGAAACAGTTTTCTATTCATGATAAATATACAGAGTGAAGAGAGTATGGGTTTTAAGAGTCAGACAGATGGGGCTCAACTGACCACCTCTGCTATCTGATAGCTGTATAACTGTGAACTAGTTACTTAACCTCTCTGCACTAATTTTCCTCACATGCAAAATGTGGAATAGTAATAGTTGTACCTACACCACATGGCTGTTCTAAGGAGTCAACACGTAATGTGCTTATAACTCTACCAGGCACACAGCAAATACTTCATAACTGTCTGCTATTATTACTATTTTTAATGTCTGAAGACCTTTTCTCCAATTACAAATCTGCTAGTGTAGTTAAAAATAATAATTATATAACAACTTGTCTTTTGACCTTTGCATCTTCAAACTGAAACTCACCCAAATGAAAAATCTTTACAAAAACAGAAAAGAAACTTCTTGGCTTTATTGGGGATGGGGGTGGAGGTTGTTATATAAAGTATTGGAAAAAATGGGGAAGGAAATGAAAAAACCCAGTAAGGACCAGGAAATATATTCTGACAGTTGAATAATTTAGATGCACAAGTCTGCTTAGGAGGGTCAAGTATAAAACCTGCCTCAAAGATCAAGATATTATTACCTAGTGCTGTAAAAGGAAATTATCCTCAGGCTGCTCATTTATGCAGCATTCTAAGCATAATTTTTAGTCATAAAGACTTACCCTAAACTAGTCTAAAAATTCTTTTCTGTTTTAATGATTTCCTATAAGAAAGACATAATTAACTGATCCTAATACATTAAGTACTCATGCCACCACCCCCACATAAATTTCTATAGATTTAAGCAAGCTCCTTGCATTTAGGAAACTATTATTTTAAATTCTTATTCTGGTACTTATTCCATCATTTCCTTCACAGAGATATCAAGACTTTAATACAAAGTATGTATGTATATATATGTATATATATATATGAAAGTACTTAACATAAAGTAAAACACAATTATATATTAACTTGTGACTTGATTCTAACAGATGTGAAGTGAAATTAAAATTGACCAAAGACTTAAAGCACATTTATAGGACGTGCACACAAAACCATTCTGCTAACAAAGCAAGTCTTCTAAAAATTTATCAATTAATTAAGTATCTCATATTAAAACAGAAACCACAACTTGTTTCTAAATCAAAACCCCTACTGAAATCAGAGCAAAGGAAAGACTATTATTTTACACAACCCCAAAGAGAACCCAAACTCAGGGTGCACGTAACAGCAAACCACTGCCCTCTCTTGATCTGCTTCCTGATGTTCACTTCTGGCACTCTTCTCTGGGTCCTTCAGTTTTCATGCTTCAGACTCCTTGTTGCCAACAACAGTACATTTTTGCATCACTAATTGAATAATGGAGTTCCCAGAATTCTACTGAAACCTTGCTAATAAATCTAAAAGCCAATATATGACCAAGATATATAATGGGTCAAACAATTTTAAAGAAATACAATACAAAAGCCTTGAAGACAACATTAAAAATCCAAACTTCTCTTCTAAAGATGAGATATCACAAAATGGTAAGATCTTCGTATCATAAAAGACATGTAACTCTTTTGTCAAAAACCTTAAACTTGCAAGTAATTTTTAATGTCATCAGTATTTCTCAGGAGGTGAAAAGAACGTACTTGCATGGCAGAATTCTGACAATATCCTTTGCTTTGAAATTTTCAATGCACACTGCACAATTTTCAGCATCAACATCAATTCCCTGTGAAAAGAAAAAGGAGAAAGACTTTATTATATTTTTAGTGTGTAGTATTTTCTTGGTAAAACTAACTTACTCCATCCTGGGTAAAACTCTCTCCTGGTACAACCTGAAACTTCATATCTAAACATTGCACTAGATGTTTGCCTTTTACCATTACCAAGAGATTATCTAAAGTAGTTGGCTGAAAAGGAAAAAAAAAAATGTCATATCCACCTAATAAGAAATTAACACTGTTTTAAATATTAAACTAGTGCTCATGTTTAAAAGAAAATATAGAAAAGAAAATGGTTTGCTTTACTATGGCAAAGTAAGTTATTTTTCAAACATAAAACTTACAATATAAAGAGAATGAATATTCAATAAAGTACTGTTTTCTGAAAGCATTAAGAAAAGAGCACTTTCATTAGAATTTGCTGAAAGAACACAGATGCAACTTGCACATGAAAAAAGGCACATGGCCAAATATATGAAAATATTCACTCATCAAAAAGAGCTATAAACTAAATGATCACTTTTCATCTATCTGATTGTAAAAAGAGAAAAACTGCTGGGGAGGAAGTAGCCTCAAGACAAAACTGTCACTTCTGAGAATCTATATGTAATAGACTTTAGTGTTGGGCCTTCCCCTACTTCTCCAGGTACCTGACCCCCTTGTTTACCAACTGGCCTCATCCCATCAACCAAAGGAGGTAGGAACAGAATGGTCATCAGACCCAAGATGGGTCAATGAGGTTGTCTTTCCCAGGATACTGGGGTGAGGAGGGACTACCAGTCACAGTCTACTACAAGTTAGTTTCATGGAACATGCCGCAGTAAACTTATGCAATTATATAAAAATATACAGTAAAACCTGTAAGAGGTGGAACTCTGTGTAACTGACTTGTGTTTCCAGATTTCAGAAGTTTTCCACCTTTGTCAGGGTGCAGTCTTACTACTTTTCCATCACTCTCTCTTAATGGAAAATATTTGAGTTTTCCTTCTCTAACAGGATTCTGCCTTACACAGGTTTTGACTTTCACAGGTTTTACTGTATTTAGCTATGAATTGTTGTTGTTGTTGTTGTTTGCCGTCGAGTCAGACCCGACTCATAGCGACCCCTCCTTGGGTTTCCCAGGCAGTATCACTACGGAAGTAGATTGCCCCATCTTCCTTCTGAGGAGTGGCTGGTGGACTTGAACCGCCAGCCTTCTGGTTAGCAGTCAAGTGCCGTAGCCACTATGCTACCAGAGCTCCCTAGCTATGAATAGCACTTACTAAAAAAAAACAAAACAAAAAACCAGCAGAAACTTGACTTTGTATGTATATATTGTTATCAAAAATTATATTAACTTTTTAAACTCACTGCTGTTGAGTTGTCACAACTCATAGAGACCCCTCCTTGGGTTTCTGAGGCAGTATCTCTACAGAAGTAGATTGCCCAATATTCCTTCCGAGAAGTGGCTAGTGGGTTTGAACCACCAGCCTTCTGGTTAGCAGTCAAATGCCTTATGCACTACACCACCAGAGCTCCCATTAACTTTATAGCAACATTTTATATATCTTACACCTAATGTAAGGTATTATTACATATTTATCATATGCCATGCAAAAGTGAAGAAATGATTTTTAAAATCCCCAAAGGTTTGTAAATTTATATATAACTGTGAATGAGTTCACAAGAGAAGAAAATCAGAAAACAAATACCAGTCTCCGGTAATGTTTAAGATGTGTATTTAAGCAAACACAACATTTTTCTATATAAGTTTAAAATGTAAAATAGTCAAGAAATCCATATACACACTTCCATGGACTTTTTAGGGATCCTCTCTTTCTTTTTCTTTTAAACTACTATTTGGATAACTTTAAAAAAACAGTCCCTGGAAACATATTTTAAAAAATGTTCTGTATAGTAAGAAGATAATAATATTAATTTACTCACGTTCTCAAAGACTCAATTCAGTAAATTACACACATGAATCTACATCTTCTTACATTTAACGACTGACATTTCCTGCTAGAGAGAGTAAAAACATGTTCCAGGAGAAACAAAAAACTATGCTTGTCAAGTAACTGGCTATGCCAAATGTATGTAGTTTATCATTTACATTAATTGAAAACTTTCTTCCAAGGATTCTCTGTGATTTGTAAACAAATGTGGGTAAGGCATTTGGCTCCTACCCAGGTGGTTTGTGTTTTAAACCCAGTAGCTGCTCCACCAGAGGAAGAGGTGATCTACTTCTGTAAAGACTGGAAACTCAAATAGGGTTGCTTTGAGTTGGAATGAACTCGATGGCAGTGAGCCAATCTTAAAACAAGAGATGAAGGAGAAAAAAACAAAATTGTACCTTTTTTTCCGCATTGTATTTGTATGCAAAGAAACTGGTACCTTGCATAGTACGGCTGTTACTACAAATAGGAGCAATCTTTTTTTTCTTGTGATTTGGGTGAAAATTTACAGAGCAAATTCACTTTCCATATAGCAGTTCACATACTTTGTCTCATGACATTGACCACAATTTACCACAATGTAACAGCTCCCCTCCCACCTCCTCCCTACAGTTACCTCTTCCCTGTGTCCATCCCTCCACGTACTCCTGCCCCCCCTCAGCTGTCTCCCTGCACATAAGCCCCTCCTTCTCCCATAATTGTTTTCTCCAAGGAGTGTATCTATCTCAGGTAAATGTTCAACTCATATGCCTTTTATTTGGCTGGAAGCCACAGGTGTGGGTTCAATTGTAGACCTGAAGGGCAGCCAGGGGCCATAGTCTCAGTGGTTCCACCAGGCTCTATCGGACCAGCAAACCTGGTCCCCTCCCCTTTTTTTGGTCTTTGCTCCAAATGATTTTGAGTTTTATTCCACACTGTTCTCCCTGTCTATCAAGGATCTCCTACATAGATCCTCCTCCAAGTGGACAACAGTGGTAGCTGGGCACCATCTAGTTCTTCTGGTCTCACAGTCGTATAGGCTGCAGATCAGATGGTGTACCAGTCACTAGGACCAATTGTTTCCATCAATTTTTGTTTTTCTTCATTCTTCTTTGCTCTGGACGAGGAGAGACCCATCATTGCACCTAGATGGCAGCTTGTCAGCTTCTAAGATCCCAGTCGCCACTTGCCAAAGCAGGAGGCAGAACAATGCTTTATACAGTATATTATGCCAATTTGAGCTTGATGTCCCCGGCGACCATAGTCCCAAGCCCACAGGTTCAACTACTTGGTCCCTCTGGGTAGCTGGCTGCGACCAAGCAGGACTACAACCTTGCCCCTTGTCAGTGCTACTACATACCTGGGAATTCTGATCATTCACATGAATTTATAGGACCACTGTCTGCCAACCCTATACATGTTCTTGGGTACACACCCCACCTCATAGACATACCTAAGAGTTCAGCCTGTCTACCCATCTATCCACCCATATACCCATATTTGCCTTCTCTGACAACGCAGTACTGTATGTGCAAAAGGGTTCATCTCCGTTGTCTGCACCTCCCATGTATCTCTCTATGTCTTTTTCTTTCTCAATGCCACCATACTGGTCACGCACATTTGGTACATTGCCCTTCTCCTCACCCAAATCAATACTTATCTCTATCTAACAGCGTTCCCTCCCCTCCCCTCACACCCCTGGTAATCAACAAAGAAAATTTCCTTCCATAGATAAACCTTTCCTTGACTTTTACAATAACGGACTAATACAATATTTGTCCTTTTATGATTGACTTATTTCACTCAGCGTAATATCCTCTAAGTTCATCCACATTATGCAGTGTTTTGCAGATTCTACATTATTCTTTAGTGTTGCATAGTATTCCACTGTGTGTATGTACCATAGTTTGGTTATCCATTCCTCAGTTGATGGACACCTAGGTTGTTTCATCTTTTGGCTATTGTAAATAGTGCTGTGATGAACATGGGTGTGCATATTATCTGTTCTTGTCATGGCTCTCACTTCTTTAGATTATATAACTAGTAATGGAATGGTTGGGTCAAATGGTATTTCTAATTCCAACTTTTGAAGGAATCGCCATACTGTTTTCCACAATGGTTGTACCATTTTACAGTCCCACCAGCAGTGTATGAAAGTCCCAATCTCTCCACAACCTCGCCAACATTTGTTATTTTCGGTCTTGTTGAACTTTGATACTAGTGCTGGAGCAAGATGGTATCTCATTGTTGTTTTGATTTGCATCTCTCTAATAGCTAATGATCATGAGTATTTCTTCGTATGTTTGTTGGCCGACTGAATATCCTCCTTGGTGCAGTGTCTATTCATGTCTTCTGCCCATTTTTTAATTGGATTGTTTGTCTTTTTGTTATTGAGGTGTTGGAGTTTTCTATAAATTCTAGAGATAAGTCCCTTGTCAGATATGTCATTACCAAATATTTTTTCCCAATCTGTAGGTTCTCTTTTGACTCTTTTGGAGAAGTCTTTGGAAGCACATTAAAATTTAATCTTTAGAAGGTCCCAATCATCTGGTTTCCTTTCTGCTGTTTGTGCATTTTGTGTTATGCTTGATAGTCTATTTATGCCATGTATTAGGGTCTCTAAATTTGCCCCTAGATTTTCCTTGAGGAACTCTATAGTTTTAGGTTTCACATTTAAGTCTTTGATACATCTGGAGTTTGTTTTTATGTATGGTGTGAGGTACAGATCTTGTTTCATTTTTCTGCAAATGGATATCTAGTTTTGCCAGTACCACTGATTAAACAAACATTTTCTTCCCCATTTAATGGATTTTGGCCCTTTGTCAAAGATCAGCTCAATGGATGTATTTCTGGGTTCTCAATTCTATTCCATTGGTCTATGTATCTGTCATTAAACCAATACAGTTTTGACTACTGTGGCTGTACAGTAGGTTTTGAGATCCGGCAGTGTGAGACCTCCTACTTTTTTGTTCTTCTTCAATTTGTTGTTGTTATGTGCCGTCAAGTCAGACCCGACTCGTAGTGACCCCTCCTTGGGTTTCCAAGGTAGTATCACTACAGAAGTAGATTGCCCCATCTTCCTTCCGAGGAGTGGCTGGTGGGTTTGAACTGCCAGCATTCTGGTTAGCAGTCAAGTGCCTTAGGCACTATGCTACCAGAGCTCCCAATACTTCTTCAATAGTGCTTTGCTTTGAGGTCTCTTTCCTTTCCATATAAAGTTAGTGATTGGTTTTTCCATATCCCTAAAGAATGTTGATGAGATCCGGATTGGGATTGCATTGAACGTATAGATTGCTTTGGGTAGAACTGACATTTTCACAATGTTCAATCTTCCTATCCACAAGCATGGGATGTTCTTCCATTTATGTAGCTCTCCTATGGTTTCTTGAAGTAATGTTTTATAGTTTTCTTTGTACAGGTCTTTTGTGTCCCTGGTAAAGATTTATTCCCAAGTATTTTATTTTTTAATTTTTTTTCGGTAGCTATTGCAAATAGTAACAATCTTAACACTAATGTTAGATGAAGACCATCAATAAAGCACAGTGTGTCCATCCTACGTATCTGAATTTTTTCAGTATTAATAATCCTAAATATTTCACTTCAAATACTTTTTCATAGTTTGCCTTTTTTTGTTTGTTTGTTTTTTACAGAAAGTGTAACTATACCCTAAAAACCAAACCTACTCCTTTTGAGTTGATTCTGACTCATAGCGACCCTATAGGATAGAGCTGAACTGCCCCATAAGATTTCCAAGGCTGTGAATCTTGACAGGAACAGACTACCACAGCTTTCTCCCATGGAGTGAGTGGCTGATGGGTTCAAACTGCTGACCCATTTAGCAGCCAAATGCTTTACTGCACACTAGAGCGCCTCAAGTATAACTATACCTAATATATATTAATTTTATAAATGCTGAAAAACTTTCTGCTACCCATATACATTGGATCTATTTTCAAGGACCTCTTAAAATTTGCTTTAAATTTTTTTTATTGAAAAACAAAAAATTTAGAAATATTCAAAAGACCACCCTAGCTTTTTCTAAATGTCCTTCCATCAATTTAAAGTGCCTCAACAATTTAACACAAGTCTTGTTGCTTCCATTAATTACATTCCATAGATTTTGATATCCTTAAACTACTTTTTGCTTAAATTGACTTTCATGGTCTTAAATTCTATTTAGTCATGGCTAGAATATGGCTGACTCAGAAAGGAAGGTGAGAATGGTTGCTTATTTGAAGAATGTAATCAATGTCACTGAACTGTACATGTAGGATTCAGTTAAACTGGTTGTATTTTGCTGTGTATATTCTCAACAATAACAAAATAAATGAGATTAAAATTAAACATGTCATTCTTGTTTGGTACCATCAAGTTAATCTGGATTCACAGTGACCCCATGTAACAGAGTAGAACTGCTCCACAGGATTAGGATTTTTGAGGCTGTAATCTTTACGGGAGCAGACTGCTACATCTTTCTCCCACAGAGCCCTGAGTGTGTTCTAAATGCCAGCCTTCTGGATAGTAGCCAAGTGCTTCTCCATTGCATCATCAGGGCTCCTTACTGCAGTAATATAAGGTTAGATTTATCAATCTTTTATTTAGAATTTCTGCTTCCATTGGTTCAGATTCCCTTTATTGTCATCTTTGCAAGGTTTTGGTATTAGAATTTTGCTAACTTTATAAAACAAATTCAGACTGTTCCTATCTTAGTATGACATGGAACACATAGCACAGAAATTTTCTTTAAAGATTTTCCATAATTCACTGATACTTCTGAAGGGATAGATTGAGGACATGCTAGATTCTTCTGTACATAATTACTTATTCAGGTCTTCAACATCTTTTTAGTTTAATTTGAGAGTTTACATATTCCTAAAAGATAATCCATTTCACTTACATGCGGCATAGAGTTAAATACCGTGTTTTCTAATTTCTTTGAGCTCCTTGTAACTGTGCTCTTGAGTGAGTGCATATTTTTTCTTTTTCATCTCGGCTAGTCTTTTTTTTCTTTTTTAATTTTATTGTGATTTGGGTGAAAGTTTACAGAGCAAATTCACTTTCCATACAGCAGCTCACATACACTCTATCTCATGACATTGACTGCAATTTCCCACAATGCAACAGCTCCACTCCTATTTCCTCTCCATAGTTACCTCCTTCTTTGTGTCCTTCCCTCCCATGCACTCCTGCCCCTCCCTGAGCTGTCTCCCTGTACATACACAGCCTTTGTATTCTCCCATAATTCATCTCTCCAAGGAGTGTATCTCCCTAATATAAACATTCAGCTCATATGCCTGTCTTTTGTTTGGCTGGAAGTCACAGGAGTGGATTCAATTCCAGACCTGAAGGGCAGCTAGGGGCCATAGTCTCAGGGGTTCCACCAGGCTCCATCAGACCAGCAAATCTGGTACCTTTCTTTCTTTTTTTTTTTAAATGATTTTTGAGTTTTGTTCCACATTGTACTCCCTCTCTACCCAGGATCTCCTACAGAGATCCCCCTCCAAGAGGTTGAGACAGTGGTAGCTGGGCACCATCTAGTTCTTCTGGTCCCACAGTCATGTAGGCTGAGGATGGTATGGTGCATGAGTCCCTTGGACTAATTGTTTCCATGTATCTTTGGTTTTCCTCATTCTTCTTTGCTTTGGACGAGGATAGACCCATTGTTGCATCTACATGGCTGCTTGTAAGCTATCTTGGCTAGTCTTGAAAGAAACAAGCAACTCCAGATTTTTAAAATTTACCAATTACCATGGGTTTATTTTCTAATACATTAATTTGTTTTCAACTTTTTGTTGTTATACTCTGTTGGTATTTTTCTAAGTGATTTCTTTTAAAAACCCATTTAAAGGTGAAGAGAGAACTGCAGGGGATGTTTTTATATAAGAACATGTGACTTTGGGGAAGACTGGTAGGCAAAAATACAAGAGTATCTTAATAATAAATGTATCACACCAACCACTGATGTTAGACTCTGAATTTCATAAAATTAAAGGTCTATAATTTAATGAGTGCTATTTTTGTTTTAATCCTCTAAGTAAGTCAGAGGAAGAACTATATCCTAGTATACAAGCTTTTCATTTCACTTTTACATATGTGCAGTTACTTTAAAAAAAAAAAAAAAAGGAGGCATAGAGACTGGAGAGTGGAACACATGAATCTCAGCAGCTTAGTGAGATAAAACGAAAATCAAAACAAATGAACCATCATATAGCTACAAGTCTACACAGTTATCAACACTACACAGCACAGATGGACTGCTAAAACAATAAATATCATTCATAGCAACAGTTTTCCTTTTAAAGAAATGATCTCTGAAGAGTTTGAAGTTCTAGATTCAGGATCTGTCCTATTTCAAATATGCTTTAAAATTCTGGTTATGATTTTGAACTTTCACGTCTCAGGCTGGCCATGACAAAATGTTTATTTTCTTAAATACCTTTTTTTCCTCCTTCTCTATAAATCCCCACATTTTCTCCCTATAATTAAATGAATTTGAATGAATGGACACTTAAGAGTCAGAATTAACAGAAATGAATTTAAAGTACCAAGGGTCTACAGTATAGCCCTTAAGTTCTTTAGCTCCTTTTGTGTCATATGGGTCTAAAATGGCACTGATCAGTAAATAGAACTTTGTTCAGTGAGGGAAATATCTGCGCTGTGAAAGGTATTTTGTGATATCTAGTGTGGCAGAGGAATTGAATTTTGATTTAATTCATTTTAGTTCAAATAGCATATGTAGCTAGCAGTTACCATACTGGACAGTGCAAATCTGGAAAGCTCTTCACATATGCAACAAACACTTTTGCCAAACTTTCTTTAAAATAAATACATGTATGAAAGTTAGTCCTATCTCAAATTAGCCAAAACTCTACATGTTCAATATTGTGAATTTAACAAACTAGTAAGATTTCTTCCATACACAAATAGATACATACTCTAGTCTAATCCTCCTCCTCCCTCCTAAAAAAACCCATGAAAATAATACCTTTTCTCCACGCTTTACAGTATGAACTGGAAGCTGGCCAATAACTTTCTTAGTTTCTTTCCTATGGCTCTTGGGTAGAAAAGATATTATTATTATTTACAATTTTAAGTTAAATCATTATTTTAAGAAAAACTCATTCATCATCATATAAGCAAGCATACAGAACAAAAATCTCATTTAAAAAGCAAAGTTAAATGACTATACACTGAAAATAACTAAAAATATACCATGTAAATCTTAATGTATAGAAAAGCCACATGTAACTTAAGAGCTGTTAGAATAAGAATATTTATTTTCAATTCCATGTCTGAAGAAGAAACCAATTCTTATGTTTAAACACTGGCAAGAAAGTAGTAAGTTGAGGATGGGAGTATCATACACTCATCTATTAATGTACCTAAGAGGAAAGAGCCCGTCCTGGCTCTCAGGTGGAAGATGACCCAGAAATGACTATCTACCACCTAGGGTACCGCCTAGAGTCAGGAAGGTCAGCTTTTCAGGACTACAGTGTTAAGTTTGAAATTCAAAAGGCCTGCCTTTGGAAGCCTCTGGCTCTTCAACTGCCCTCCTCTCTGCTGTTACTGAGACAGTGTCTCTCTGTAGATAAATGGCTTTGAAAGTTGCTCCACAATGGAGACAGAGAAGCCCCTTCCACTCTCTTCCTCGCCTTCGGGCCTAGTCAGGGAACCAGGGTTACATGAGGACAAGTCCATTCTATCTCATGTCTTTTTGTCATTCCTTTATGTCTGGAAAAGGATAAAGAGGGTATCTGCAGGAGCCAAACATGCAAAACATGACCCAAATTGCATGGCATCTAATTTCCCATAAAACAGAAAATTTAATATATTCAAAAGTTAATATTAAAAAAATAATATTAATACTTACATATTATGAATGGAAATGAAATTTAAAATATAAGTACACAACTTCAAGCAATATATAGGGGAAATATTTACAAACAACCTTTTAAAAAGCAAAGTTAAAAAGTTACCAATAATTACCTGATTTCCAAACTGTGAGCCAGTATAAAGGAAACGCTGTATATAATAAAATATTAGCCAGGCTAATGAGATAATCATCATGGTGATAAAGGCAATGGCTACAAACACCACAGACTGACCACTGATGAACTCCTGTACGTGACGGGTGCCGATCCCTATGGCCATTTTTACTGGAATTCCTTTTTGCACCAGATCCAAAATTTCTCTTCCTTTTGGGTAGCTAATCATAATTACCACTATATTTCCTGTTCCTGTAGAAGACAAGAAAGAAATCAATACAAAGAATATAAAATATACAGCAAGTTAAGAGAAACATAAGAGTACCATTCTCATCTACCCATGCACACTTGAAAACTTTGATGAAACAGGTAATTTTCAAGGAAAATAGAAGTTAAAAAAACAGGTTCTAAGAGGAAAAAGACAGTGATTACTATAAAAAGGTAGAATAAATCATTAAGTACTATCCTCCTCTCCCCCAATAAAGGAAAGAACCTCACAGAATTTCACAAGGGAATTCTACTAGCAAACCTTTAAGGAACAAGTAATGCCAAAGATTCTTAAATTGTTCCACTGCAGATAAAAAGGAGGAAGTTTTAAAATTATTTCTAAGATATCAAAACTAGACAAAGATGGTAATAAAAAACAAACAAAAGAACGATACAGACCAAATTTACTTATATTAGTATGTAATGCCTACAGCATGCCAAACAAAATTAGGGAGGTAATATGAGAATTTCTACTATGATCACTATTACTTAGTATTTTTCTTAAGACCTGAGCAGGCAAGACAAAAATATAAGAAAAGGTATAACAATCAATTTTACATGAATCAATCTATAAATTAATGCAATAACCAAAAAGTATCAATAGGATTAAAACAAACACTAAAGTGCTGCATCTAAAGTTCACTTAGGGGGAAATATGCAAGAATGAACAGGAAAACTTTTTAAACAGTAATACTTGGGTTGGCCTCTATGGTAAAATAATTAAACTACTACGGTAGTAATGAATGAAGACAACCAGTGTAATAAAACAGACTAAAATGTCCAGAAATAGCTCCAAATGCATAAAAGAACTTAGTATATAATAAAAAACTGACACAGTGGCTGTGATGATGGGCTCAAGCATAGCAAGGATTCTGAGGACAGTGCAGGACCAGGCAGTGTTTTGTTCTGTTGTACACAGGGTCGCTATGAGTTGGAATTGACTCAATGGCACCTAATAACATAACAACAAAGCAGAATTTCAAATCAATGGGATAAAGATAAGTTTATTTTTAAAAAATTGTGTAGGGGGAACTGGTATCACCTGGAAGAATAAAAGGTGCAGCCCTTTCTCACAACTTACGTCAAAATTAATTCCAACTAAAGCAAAGATAGAGAAACATAATAAGACCAAAAGAAATTTAAGAATATATAATATAGAAGGAAAATCTTTGAAATGAAAAGTCACCTCAGAGGTTCTTTAAAAAAAGAAAAAAGATTTGACCTCATAGAAATGAATAGTTTACATGGTCAAAAGAGAGCAAAAATAAGGTCAACAGCACACAGACAACTGGGGAAAAACATATGTAACCCAACAAAGACAAGAAACTAATTTTCTGTAAGAAAAAGACTAATAGAAAAACCTTTACAACCTTGTTGCAGTTGAATTGATTCTGACTCACAGTGACCCTACAGGACAGAGAACTGCCCCACAGGGTTTCCAAGGCTGTAATCTTTACAGAAGGAGACTGCCACATCTTTTTTCAGTGGAGCAGCTGATGGGTTCGAACCAGCAACCTTTTGGTTAGCAACCGAGCACTTAACCATTATACCACCAGGGCTCCACACAATAGAAAAACAGGCAAAGGAAATCAACAAACAGATTTTTAAATAACAGTTTTAATGAGTTACGCTTTATATACCACAAAATTCACCATTTTAAAGTGTGTAAGTCAGCAGTTTTTAGTACATTCACAGATTGTACAACATCAATACTATCTAATTCCAGAGTATTTTCATCACCCCAAAAAGAAACTTTGGACGAATTAGCAGTCACTCCTCAACAAATGAACATATGTTTTAAACATATGAACAGCCATGTTACAAATAAAAACATTTAACATACTGGATTGGCAAATATCAAAATGCTTGACATAGTATATATTGGCAAGAGTGAGCACAAACCAGCACTGTTAGAAGCTGCAGGGGAAGTGCATCATTACAACCTGTATGGAGGGCAACTGCTCCCAAAATCTGGAAAATTCACAGACCTCCTTGATCCAGCAATTCTACATCTAGTGACTTAACTGCACACATATATATGTAAAAATGAAGTATATACTAAGGTATTTATTGCCGATGCTTTCTCAAAATTTATTTTACTATCCTAATCTAAGCTCTGGTAGCATAGTGGCTAAAGCACTTGTCTGCTAACCAGAAGGCTGGCGGTTCAAACCCACCAGCCACTCCTCGGAAGAAGGTTGGGCAATCTACTTCCGTAGTGATACTGCCTCGGAAACCCAAGGAGGGGTCGCTATGAGTCGGGGCAGACTCGACGGCACATAACAACAACAACAACAATCCTAATCTAAATGTCCATCAATGAGAAAACAACTATATAAGTTTTGTATATGTACACAAACTGAGTAAAACTATGTGGACAGCATGCTATAATTAAAAAATAAGAAAGATAAAAGATCTATCTACTCATATAAACATAGGCTACCTCTGGAGGGATACCCCAGAAACTGGGACCCCTGTCTCTGGGGAGAGAAACTGGGCAGCTGAGAACAAGGAGACTTAGTTTCCACAGGAAAAAATTCTGTACTATGTACACATATTAGCTATACAAAAAATAATTTAAAAATACACAAAAAGAACGTTCTCTGACATGACACTAAAACTACATTATAACACTATTTTATTGTAGAGAGAAATTTAATCCACTGTGGGCCTCAGCCATCGGAATTTAGTTACTGAAATACCAGAAGGGCACCCTTCTCAAGTGGCCTGTCTAGAAGCTGATCCCATGGTCCATGGCCTAAAAGTATCAATTAGCAAGAACTATAGTTTCCTGAGTACCCACACAATCTACCAAGTCATCACTGAGGAGACACAATAATGAGTAAAGCATTTCCTGCCTTCAAGAAAATAAACATCTAGTAGCTAAGACAAGTACAGAAATAATTATGATAGTTATACCACTATGATAATTATACCATAATTATATGGCACTTTATAAATTAAAAACATTTTTTATAAATTGTCTTTTATGGAAATTTTCAAATATATATGAAAGTAAAAAAAATAGTATAATGCCTTCATGTACTCGTTACTCAGTTAAAAACTTCTATACAAAAATTGGCTCAAATTGTTCAAATTGCTTCCATGCTATGATTACAGCTATGTGATATTTCTGGGAACGGTAATGTTCTTTGTGTGATATTGGGGAAAACAACTTTGAAGTGCTTTCATCTATATGTCTCATCTGAACCTATGCTGTATTATGATTTTACTGTTGAGAGCTCAGAAATCTGAGGTTGATTACTCAATGCCATATATTGCTGTTGTTAGGTGCCACTGAGTCAGTTCCAATTCACAGTGACCCTATGGCCAACATAACAAAACACTGCTGGGTCCTGTGGCATCCTCACAATTGTTACAATGCTTGAGCCCACTGTTAAAGTCACTGTGTCAATCCATCTTGTTGAGGGTCTTCCTCTTTTTCACTAACCCTCCACTTTACAAAACATTATGTCCTTCTCCAGGGACTGGTCCCTCCTGATAACATGACCAAAGTACTGAGACAAAGTATGGCCATCCTTCCTTCTACGAAACATTCTGGTTGTACTTCTTCTAATACAGATTTGTTTGTTTTTCTGGCAGTCCATGGTACAGCCAGTATTCTTTGCCAACACCACAATTCAAAGGCATAAGTTCTTCTTTGGTCTTCCTTATTCATTGTCCAGCTTTCACGTGTATAAAAGGAGACTGAAATTACCATGGCTTGGTTCAGGTGCACCGTAGTCTTCAAAGTGACATCTCTGCTCTTTAATACTTTAAAGGGGTTTTTTGCAGATTTGCCCAATGCAATATTTCGTTTGATTTCTTGACTGTTGCTTCCATAGGCACTGATTGTGGATTCGAGTAAAATGAAATCCTTGACAACTTCATCTTTTCTCCATTTATCACAATGTTGCTTACTGCAGTAAGCAATGTCATACACCACCAGGAAAGCTGGTTCTATGGTCTGAAGACCCAGCTCGTAGGTAGCATCCTTGCCCTGTCCCCTCTTCAGAGAAGACCTCATAGCTGGATCAGAAAGATCACAGGATTCAGTGGTGAACTGACTTGGTTTCAACTCACTGTAGTATCTACTATCTGAGTCTGGACAAATCAATCCTTTTGCAAATGTTTCTTCATCTATAAAATGGGGATAAGAATTATTCTATTTTGGACTATCACTTATTTAATAAGGAAAGTAGAATAACAAAGAGTTACAGAAGTGAGGAGGTAATTTTCATGTGGGATAAGAAGGAAATCTTCTCCTGGGAAGTGGCATAGGGGCTACACTTGGAAGGATAAGAAAAGTTTCCCAAGTAGATGAGGGGAAGGCTTTCCAGGCTGTGGAAGCAGATAAACACGTATTTCGGATGGTGACTAGTCCAGTTTGGCTAGTGACTAAAAATACAATCTGAAATTTTTCACCTAGGAAATTAATCTCAGTTCATTGGATTAAGAAAGAAAATCATTGAAAAAAAATACTGTGCTTAAGATAAAGGCTAAACAGCAGTTTGTTATATTATAATTATAGCAGCAAGAGTGCCCCTAGGAACTGTTTTAAAATATCTCAGAACGAAGAATCACTCTACTCTGTGATTTATTGTGCCAGGACCTTTTTGGTGATACACTGGAGGTAGGGTAGTTATGTAAAAACCCACCAGCTAGGGCTACCCTGTGCCAACCCCAAAGGATGACAGGCCTACACAGCCACAGATGTCCCAGTCCTGCCCCTCCCTCCTGAAACATTACCGTCTCTAGGTCAATCCTAGAGCGCTAAGGGTACTCAAGTTATTTAGCACAACAACCATGGCACATGAGGGCAAATCACAGCTTATTTCCAAACTAACTCGCTAAATTTCTTCACAGAAGACATAGAAACTGCAAGATTTGGGGTGGAGGTGGGACGTAAAAGCCCTTAAAGTGTTTTTCTTCTCTAGGTCTTAACACTGCTACCAATGTTGGTTGATTAGAGCAAGGTTGTCTTA